CAGCAGCAGCAGCAGCAGCAGCAGCAGCAGCAGCAGCAGCTGTCCTGCTTCCGCATTCCGACTTGTCATCTGCGGTGCTGATCACTCGCTCAGAGCCACGGGCGCGCGTCTTGATTGTGCGTGCGCGCGAGATGTTACCAGCTTTGCCAGACTTTTTGAGCCAATGCAAGTGGCGATGCTCGTCTTCCGTATAGATGGCGCTGTGATGTGGACGCGGAGAGCGGGTCAGACAGAGCGACGAGGGACTTTGGGCTGTGTGGCCCGCGGGCCGTACTTACGCTGGACGTTCTTCCAGCAACCTTGCGACTAGCGCTAGAGACGCGGGTCCCTGTGTGCATGAGAGCATGAGCATCGTATAGAAAAGGCAGTGCTGAAACGGGGGAGGTGCCTGATTGCCTACTCACCGCGCCAATGACGATGAGATCGAAGAATGCATGCTCCGGAAGCGTCATTGGGGAAGCCGTGGCTGAGTCGCGCCTGCAAAGAGGTACTGAGCTCGAGGCTAAGCGAAGCGAAAGAGGTGGAGTCGAGGCAGAAGGATCAAGGCCGTTGTCTTGAGACACAGCGATGCTCAATTCTTTCGGCGTGAGTCGATGAGGGCGAAGCGTCATGGTGGAAGAGGAGCAAAGGCGGAGGAAGTGACAGCAAAAAGGTGCCCACTTGATGCCTCCTCGGAGCGCACGGTAAGGTCCTTACCATTGGGGCAACAACCAGCAGGCCTTTGCGACGCTCGGGGGTTGGATCAGCTGCCGCGCAGATCTCAGCGTCTTTATTCATGATGTGCAGCCTGAAGCCGCCCACAAGAGATTCAAGATTGAGACCGATCCATGGGCTCAACAGCCAGCAAAGCTCGACCGCTGGCGCCCATGCAGAGCACCTTGAGCGCTGTGGAATTGACTGCACGGCATGATGACCCGCGATGTTGAGCTCAGTGACAGACGAGACAGCCACTCGCTGCTTGCTTGCTTGCTTGCTTGCTTGCTTGCTTGCGAGCAGCAGGCATCAGACAGCGGTGTGTGACGCAGAATGTCTGTCTATACGCGCTGGAGGATGGCCGCCTCTCACGTACGCCATCTCGGTCGTGTCTGCAGCGCGCATATACATCGACAAGGTGAGATAAGATGAGCGAGTACCTTCGTGGTCAAGCCCCACCGTTGAGGCGCTGCAGGCAGGCTGATGGATGTAATCAAGAATTGATGTGACTCACAAGTGTCCCGGCAGTCTGGCTGCTTTGCATCTCGATCCATGGCAGCATATCCGATGCATCGATCAAGGCAGCTTTTAGTCACACTCACGACTTGTGACTTGAGGCGTAAAGTAGCAAATCCAGGTCATCCGGCCGTCTGTAGCGCGTACCTCATCAGTTACCAAAGCTTGACAGCGCGGATCATCGATCGCGTGATGCCTATTCCGGGCGTTGTTCTTGAGAGACGCACGTGATCTGGTGGTTGGTCGTCTGTGAGGTTCAAAATCACGATTTTGTGCACAGCATGCCTCAAAAGCTCGAATCAAGAATCGTAGATGCTGAATCTTGCATGGCTGCGTCTGTATTCTTCGCTATCACCGCTCTTTGAGTAGGTCTCGCCGCGGGAACAGAAGGGGTGGGAGGTCATTCACGAATTCGACGCACCTTGATCGGTCAGCAGTCATCATGAATACTGTGCGTGCCTGACCGCTCATGCATGCGCGAGCGTGACTTCAGCCCCATTCACGTGACTGGCTCACCCTGACTGAATGCAGCACGCTCACCTTGAACCACGTGGCTCGTCGGACCGATCGTTCGGCCTTTACCGCACGAGTGCCAACCGCGCGGGCACGCCCGGCCGGCGCGCACACAGGTGCACGCACAAGGCATGTCCGCGCTGCCAAACCACGCACCAGCAGCAGCAGCAACCAAACAGGTGAGCGCGATCTCAAAGCTTCTTGTCGCCGCGGGTGCGAGTCGTGAGGTGAGTCTAGGGTCAGAGTGGATGCGCGCGTGAGCCATCAAGATGAGGGAGGAGCACAATCCGAATTCAATTGGTGCATCCACTCAGATTCGCATTCGACGCGCACGTGTGACCGCGACTACATCACTCCTCGCTCCTAGAGTCGACACTGACTCCTTACGCCGTCGCTCTACACTCTTCCACCACGGCTTTGAAACGACAACTTGGCAAGTAGCACCGAAACGTAGATCCTATCGCGTGGCACGGGCACTGGTCCAAAATCGCTTCATCATGGCTTCCTTTTCCAGCGCCATTTACAACACGCTGTTCAAGCGAAACTCGGTCTAGTGCGTTTGCTGCTCATCAGCTTGGCCCCTCCCATCATCATTTCCCTCTCTCGCATGCGTATCCGACTGACCAGTGCACTTCCTCCACCTTTTTGATCGATCTCTCTCTCTCTCTCCACACTCTTTCAGCGTCACCTCCATTTTCGCAGGCGCTTTCGTGTTCGGAATCGCCTTTGACGCTGGTACACAAAGGCTCTGGGACGCCCACAACAAAGGAGTGAGTCTGCTTCGATCCCAGCTTTAGGGATGCCTAGCTTTAGGGATGCCTTCGCAATCTTGAGAGGTCTCGCGCTGTTGCTGCTGGGACATTCAGATGCTCGTACTGTATCGCGTGGAAGGCTTCTGATGAGCAAGGTAGTGCGGCTGCCTGAGCAGATGCTCGATGCAGGATCGACGAAGCTCTGGCATAGCACGCGCGAGCAATGAGAGGATCAGCTTGAGTTTGCCAGTCCGGCGACCAAAGCTGCTTTCTGTATCGAGTCCTCCTCGACACTGCGAGAGCATCACTAGCGATGGTCATCGCAAGCCGCACTTGTGCTTCTGCCTTTATCCTTATTCTGCGTGTTTACGATGATTGCTGTTTCCGCTTGCTGACGTCAACTACTTCTTTGCATTTTTTCTCTTTGCAGAAGCAATGGAAGGACATTCGGTGCGTCAGATTCGATCAAGAGAAGCAATAGCTTGTTTGGTCCAAGCTGACCCCTTCGCTGCTTTCCACTTTTGCAGCGACAAGGTTGCTCCTCAGGATGGCGAGTAATTAGTGGACTTGGCAAGGAGACCAAAGGTCCTATTCCAAAGCGTCATTGAATACGATACGTCGCACTCGCAAATTGTACTGTGCGGCTTTGACACGCGGGTCTCATAGCAGAACCAGAACGATTGACTCGTCTTGGAAGTATACATGCGCCGTTGGGTCTTTGGAATCTGGCTACACGCTGTATTTGGTACATCAGGCGAGCAGCGGCCTGTAGAGAGGACTGGGTAAAGATTTGCATCTATACATATTGCAGTACAAGGGCATCATTGGCCAGTAGAGATGCCGGACCAAGGCGATTCGGCAGCATCGTCGAAGCCGAGCAGCGGGTCAAATCCGAGCGGAGCGTCCATCGCAGAGGGCACTGCACTATTTTGGAAGTCCATGGTATCTGAAATGCCAGCTTCTGGGAGCGCCCCGCCAGTTACTTGTGGTCCAGCTGCTGTTGTCGGCATGCTTTGCAAACCGAAAGGGGAGGCAAGAAGAGCTTTGCTTGCAGCTAGACAGTTGCTCACTTCCTCTTGCATGGGGATGGTTATAGCCCACGAGTCCGACATGGCTTTCAAGGTCTCGTGCACTTCTCGCACCCGTTGCCAAATCCTCTCCAGTCGCTGAAGACGAGAGCCGCCAGAAATGACGCCTTGACCGGCGTCGCCCGTGAAATCGCTTCTTTGATGACCTCCGTTCAACTGGCCGTCTTGCTTGACAGCAGGACTCAGGGCGGCTGCTCCCTGCCCGGAAAGTAACAGATCTCGGGAGTACGATGCCGGCATTTGACCTTGTTGAGGTCTGCGAGGGGGTGTGTTCGAATCGTCGTTCTCCTCTGTGTCCCCTTCGCCATCAGGTGTGCCGCTGATTGCCAGCGCTTGCATGAGACAGACGAATGAGATGAGGACGAAGGAACAGGCTCCGAAGGGATTCGGTTGAGGGTCTTTGCCTGCATGCCTTGATATTTCGAGCAAGCGTTTGGAAGCGTGGACGCAGCGATCGAGACTGAGGCGCGGCAAGAATGGCCCACGTTGGTACAGCTCCAGGTTAGACGACGAGGCTGGTCCTATCTGCTGCAAATTCGCACCTCCTGACGAATCATCGAAGACGTCTGGCATCGGCACCTGGCAGGCGGCCATTGAGTCCGTGGAGTCGTTGACGCTATTCAAAAAGCACAATTTGCGCTCAAACAGCTATAGCAAGCCGAGGGTGGGTCAGCGAGGTTCAAGATGTTCGTTGTTCGCTATACGAGAAGTTTGCAACGCACGCTTGCTCCCTGGAAGGCTTGTCCAATGCTGTACAGTGAAGACAGATGTGGAGGGCACATTCGTTGGGTCATCTGCGCTGCGGAAGCACCCCTTTGAAACGCGAACGACTTACTGTAGTGTTAGGGAAGAAGTGTAAAGCTGTATTGCAGCGCTGCTCTTCAGGTACGCAACGAGACCATCCTCCACCTCTTCGGCAGAAGCGTTCTGGCGCGCCCCTGAGCTTTGGCGAGAGTGGTTGATCGCACCCCCCAGATCCGCGCCTGGCTCCTCAATGGCTTTGATCTGTTCTTGGAGGCTGGCGTCGATCTCTTGCATGGACTGCAGGATGTCCTGCTTTGTGGCGATGGTTGGCAGGCTGGAAAATGCTGCAGGGATGACCTTTGTCGGCCCCCCGCTAGCCGAAGCGGGAGTGTTTGCACTCAGCGGTGACCCAGCTACTGCATTAGCTGGTGAGGCAGGCAGCGTCACACCACCTGGCCCCGACGTTTCGACCTCGGCCAGATTCTCTTCTTGCAACCGCGAGAGCGCCAACACTCGATCTTGCACAAGCAGAAGGGCCTGCAAAGAGCGCACATTGCTGGCCCAAGCTGAGGCGTCTCTGCATGCTGGCATGTCGGTGCGGACGCGCGGATCGTCTGCTCGGATTGTTGGGGTACGAGCCGTGTTATACCTGCATGAAGAAGCGTAGGTCAACATCAAAGCCTATGCCCTCGGTGCTAGTGTGACAAACCGACTCACGCGCTCCACATCACTAGGCTCCACACAGTCCACCACACCCTACGTTTCATCTGCCCTATCTCTCCAGGCTCGACGCCAGCAAAGTAGTGCTTTGCAGCGCCTTCGGCCCCAAGCCCTATTTGAGGTCCCGGTGTGCCGGAGCCCGTGTAAGAGGCCGATAGCACCTGGTGATAGCCTTTTGACATAGCCAACCCAAGCGCTTGATCGGCTTTCAGTCGCGCTTTCAGTGCCCTTCCTGAGCCATACTGTCGATGACGCGGGAGCAAGTCGGCAACAAACGATGAGTTGACAGCGCACGGTCCTGAGCCGACGGCTTTTCTGACTCACCTCGTAGATGGCCAAGGTGCAAAGCGACTGACAGACCTCGAGCGTAAGCGCCTCCTTCGTCATTTGATCCTCATCTCCCTCTAGCCGCTCCAAGACGCTGTCGATCTCTTCAGTAGCTTTGCGCTCCCACCAGCTCGTGAGGCCTCGCAAACGGGCATGCTTCTCCGCGCTGCCGAAATTAAGCCCATGTTGTCCGCCCGTGGGGACCGCAAAGGGTTGTTGCATAGATGAGGACTCCCCTCTCAGCAAGGGCAAAAGAGCTCGGAGGGCATGCAAGAAGGGAGAAGAGGCTGGCATTGAGCCGCTGAGCACGGGAGTAAGCCTAGCGGGCGAGACGAAGACCGGAATGAAGCGGTATAGATATCGGTAATAGTCTGCGAGCAGAGACTGTGCCCCTTCGCCCTCATCGGACTGAGCCAAGGTCATAGGCATCGAGTGCGTTGCCGAGGGTTGCCCTCGCGCTTGATGAGCAAGTTCACCTCCAAAGAGCGGGGCAAGGCCAGAGTTCGCAGCAGCAGCTTGGGACTGGTCTTGCCATGACATATTGCAATGCGAGCCGCCTTGGTTTGGCATGCTGCCTTGCGCTATGGTAGAATACTGTCCAGTCTGCTGGTCCGGTGCTCCATACGTGGCTGACATTGAGCTGAGTAGCTGCTCCAGCTCCTCGTTGCCCATCGTGCCTTCATTGCAGCTCCAAGCTGAGGGTCCCGCAACGTCTTGCCCATCAAAACTCATATCAGTCTGGAATGGCCGAAGCTGCGGGACCTGTCCCGGCACTCGGACGTCGCTGGGCAGGTCTGATAATGCGAAGAGCTGCTCCAAATGCGACTCGAGGGAATTTGCCGCTGAAGGGTGGAGTGTAAAGGTGGTGTGCGTTAGTCGCAGAAGTTTGGCGACTGCACCCATTCTCTTCACAATGCCAGTGACTTACTGGATGATGGAGCCTGTTTTGGCTTCGGCTTGCCGCCACGCCTGCTGATCGTGTATATACAGTCATCGATTCGTCCCCTGGCTATGCAAGCCGCGCAAGGGCATTTGCCATTGCAGCGCGATTTCCTAAAGGCAGCGACAGCGGGATCGGATGCCCCACCACGAAGGTGGCATCATCAGCATGCAGCAAACAAGACGTGCTCCCATTTAAGAGGAAGAATCGTCTGCTCCAACAGCGGAGAGCAGCCTTCCCTCGTTTCCTTTGGTCGTCACTCACCTCGACCGACAGAAAGTGCAGGCAGCTTTGGCTGGAGATTGGGCCACCTTGCTCTCCTTCTCCCTCCTTTCCGCTTTATTTTCCTTCGACTCTCGCACAGGCCCAATGTTTGACTTGGCCTTGCTCTCCTCCTCATCATCTGCCACACCCTCCATCTTCACTTTGTTGATGGTGCCGCCTACTGAGCGAGATGGTGATGTGGACACTGATCGATTGGGTCCATCGGGAGAACGTGACGGACCGGCTTGGTCTGGAGCTTGATGCATTGTCGTGTCTCGATGTGCAGCCGGCGGATTTCTATTCTGTGCAGCCTCGATGCTCCAGCGTCTGAATTTGCGTGTCGCTTGGAGACGGTGTTGTATTGCGAGTGCTCACTGTCGGGTGCAGGAGACGAGTGGAGGTGTGCTGAGGCTAGACAAGGATAGCTGGAGTGTAGAGTGGGCATCCAAGATGACTTGTCACAACGGCAACCTCCTTGCGGATGGTGGGCAGGAGCTTGGTGCGTTGTAATGTAAGCTGCAAAATGGCAGTCTTGATATGATCGTCAGTTTGTGTGACTAGTGTCAAGATCGAATCAGTGAATGTGAATGGGATGTTAGATGCAAGCTAGCTGCTCGCAACTGCACTCACGACTCATGCAAGAGTCTCGAGTCTTTCGCTCGTCTCGCACGACTCAGCAAAGGTTATGATCGAGATTCGATGGTAAGTCGTCATTCACATTGTGATTCACATTGTGAAATGCGCGTGTATGCTGCTGGTACCGCGATCCAACAACTCACGCTCGCGCGACGCGCCCCGCGGCCGCGAGATCTTGGCCCGCGGTGCCTATTCGTGACTGTCGAAGATATACCTGATTTAGATGTGCATGAGTCTCGATGCGTGGCCCACAATTCATATTCTTGCTTCAGGTCACTGAAATGTGCATCGTTCGCAACCCTCACAATTTTCAGGCTCCGCAACCTCCCAGCTTTGAGTTGAGTTTGTGAGACCGCAAGCCCAATTGCTCATCCACGACGAAGGTGCTGGCGAGATTGACTGGGAAGCCCTGGCGGGCAAGACGGACGCGTACGTGCTTGACCAAGGCGCAGGAGAGCCAGTCACGCGCGCAGATTGGTCAGCCTGCATGAGGCGCGCGTGCGGCAGATGAGTGGACAGGAGCTCGGGTCCACGATGAAACATGGGTCCCTTGTCTTGTAGCGGATCGCACACGCGTAACGCTCATCCTCACAGCATTCATTCGGGTCATGAGAATCGTCAGGAAGCGTGTTCCGTACATGCATGCAGAGTCGAACCTGAAGTGTGTGACCAGCAGAGTGCGATGTCCTTCAAAACAGAGCAACCGGGCACGTGCGATGCCTCAAAGTCGCTGCTAAGACACCGCGCGCCAAAGTACCACCCTATCACTCAAAAGTGTTGCAATGGAAACGGCTCAGAATAATTGAGCAATCTTGGGCCAAGTTGGCGTACCCCAACCAGATGGGGCATCCCAACCAGCGGCGGTGGGGAAGCCGTTTGCCGTGCCATTGCAGTTGTAGCTTCCACCGCTAGTGATGTCGGTGAATGCACCAACTGAGGTAGCGTTGGCGTAAATCTTCGGCTGGGCCCATCCGATCGGGCTTTTGCCTGCCACTCTGCGCTGGTCATTGACAAGCGACAGGATAGAGGCGAAGAGAGGCGCCGAAGCTGAAGTGCCCGAGACGGCATAGAGCGAACCTCCAAGGACGACGGCGTACTTGCTGCCCTGCGCGGAGACATCCGGGAAGAAGCGGCCGCTGCTGTTGTACATGCTGGCTGCGGAAGATGGTATGCTGCTCTTGTACGCTTTCACCACACTGCTCTGGTATGAAGGCGTGCTGAAGATGTTTGAAGATCCAGCGGAGGAGGAGAAGCCAGCCAAGGAACTGTTGGCCATCACCTCGGTGTCAAAGCTTTGCGTCGCTCCAACCGAGAGGATATAAGGACAGCCGGAAGGATATGAAGGGCTGAAGGGAGGGCACGTTCCGGAGCGCGATGCCACGCCGCGATCAGCAGAAGCGACGACGATGGTGGTGCCAAGAGCAGTGAGCTTCTGCGCAGCGTTGCACATGTCTTGGGCTGCCGCTGCTGTGAACTGAGACTCGTCGGATGCGTAGGAGATGGAGATGACTTTAGGCCGGGTAGTCGAGTTGAAAGAAGTACTGAGCAGATCGTTGAACGTTAGAAGGAACAGGTCTCCGGTGCTTTGGCTGTTACCTTCAGCGATGAATTGACTCGTAAGAGGATAAGTCTGCGAAGATACGATTTCAGTGTCCAGCATCGTCTCCAAGCCAGGTTTGCTAGAGTTGTTCGTCGCGCCGTTCCTCAAGATTACAGGCATATTGTAGTACGTGGCTCTGCTTTGAAAATTGTAGTTGAACACCTGCAGATCGTTCGCACTGAAATATTGGTCGATCATACCGATGACCGCAATGTCAACGCCAGACCCGCCCGTAGCATTGTAAGCCCCTTGACCGTAGTATGCCCTCAAGCAGTCGGGCTTGACCAGGCTTGTGGAGCAGCTTGACGGGACAGCGGCCCTTCGGTTGAGGGTTTCGCTGTTGACCGCTTCCGCCGGGACCGTTCCAGCCGAAATGGACTGAACTTGTCCGAACGTAGCCAGCGGGTACACATCGGAGATGAAGGGCGCTACGGTGTCTGGAATCGAGAAAGCCTTGGTGCGCGGCACGATAGGTCCTCCAGACAATTGCCAATTGTTGAAGCTGGTCGAAAAGAGTCGTGCCACAGTACCCACCGTCGACTTGACGGTCACCGAGTCTTGGTAGCGAGACCACGTCGCTGCACTTGACGGAACTCCGTTTATGGTGAGGAAGAGCTTGACGGCGCTGATCGCCGCTGCGCTAGGCGTCGCATATTGAGCAAGTTGGTCTTCGGTCAGCCAGGGGCCATCGCTGCTTGCGATCGACTGCATGCGGCTAGTGAGCCCTGCCATGTCGCTCTGTAGCGTGATTGTAAAGGTAAACGCATCGGAAGTCGACGCTGAGCCAAGCTGCTTCCAGACCGACGGAATGTTCGATGGAGCAGAGCGCGAGCTTGAAAGGATACTTTGGCCCATGAAAGCATCCGGCAAGCCGCGAGCCTTTGCATCAGCGGGTGCCGCTTGCGTGTCCGCGACGATGGCCAAAGCCATCATCACCAGCGTGAGCAGCTTCTTGGATGCGAACATGATTGCTGCGGCTGATGCGCGATGCTGATGGCGAGCTTGAGCGCAGGGAGGGCAAGGTGGATTGAGTGAGATGTTTCGTAAAAATCGTTGCGAGAGAAGAACGTGAAAGACTAGAAGGTGAGGAGTGAAGAAGGAAGATGACAATGTAGTCGCGGTAATGCTCCTTTATAGCTTTCAGTACCTTGTGACCATGACGTATCGCCTGCCGTGCTACGGCCCAGAGCTGCGAAGAATGAGTGGATCTCCCTCGTCCGCCAAGTTGTTCGAGCTGATGATTGTCCCGTGTCGGAGGATGTGCCTAATAGCTTGCAGAGCGCAAACCGTGCACGCTAGATGGTGCGGAAAGCGTGAAACAACATCTCCAGCGCTTCGTGGCTTCATCAAGCTTCTGCCGTAAGAGGAAAGCCAAGCAATTCCAGCCAAGGGCCGACGATCCGAGTAGGATGTGAGCGCATGGCCATTTCTCCAAGCTCAAAGGTCCCATCCATCCTCATCGTTGAAAGGGCGTTCAAGAAGCTAATTGGTGAAGTGTCCACGCTACACAAGCTTTAGCGTCTGACTGCCCATCATCTTGAAGCTATGTGTGGCGCTGAGACCAAGACGTGAATGTGAAGGGTGGCTTGAGAAGTTCACTTGACATGTTCTTCCAGCATTGCAGCCAGCGCCATCTTTCTGATGTCCACGCGTTCAGAGCAGACCACCTCCCGAGTAGTTGTAGCGGCTGGTGCCTTTCCTGTTCTAGACCTCTCTCATTGTCTCCAAAAGACAGCTTGACTGCCGCTCGGTAGGCTAAAAGAAGCCCGTAGTGCGGACCTTCATATGCAGGAACCAAAGTTGAAGTGATCCTTGGGCGACGTCAGTGCGGGGAAAAGGGATAAGCGCCTCAGCAGCGCACTACAACGGCAGCATGCTTCGAAATACAGTAGTAATAGTACAAGTGGATCCCGTAGCTTTGCACAGCGTACCAAAGCCGCACTGACGGACCCGGAAAGGGATAGAGTGATTGCCAGAGTAGTCCCGCTCCTTAGCCTCGGGAAGCTCGAAAGTTCGGACGAACGAGCCGAGATCCTTGCCTCACAGCGTAAGGTCTCAGATGAGGCGCGCGCCCCGCCGTGAGGAGCGACCAGGAGCGACCCTTGCAGGCAGGCGTGCGCATGTGGCTGCTGACTTTCCAACTCCTTCGCTAACTTGCTACTGCCGCTTTGCTCCGTCCGGGATCGACACGCGGAGGCCCCAAATGTACCTTGCTTTCACTTTCCTACCCAACAGGGCAACGATCAAGTCCTATCTATCAGCTTCGGGCAAGTCCTCTCCCAAATCGATGTAATGCCGCGGATAGGTCCGTGCGTGCCGTTTCGCCGCGCGTTCGCGTTTTGATTTCGGGTTTCGCTGCATGCTAGCTGTTGCGCATGCCGCAGGCTCGCCGTCGAGCGCGTAGACGTTGGGTGGCTGGCTGCGCGGGACAAATCCAACGTAAAAGGTGGCTTAATTGATGGATACGGTACACGACATTCACGATTCTTGATTCGTGATTGGGCACGCATCACGACACGCCGCGCGCGTCATCGTGCTCAGCAAGCTCTGCGTGAATCAGCAGGAATCCAAAGTTTTGGGGGAGACAGACTGTGCTCACTTCATTCACGATTGCTCTCGCGGCTTGCAGCAATCGTAGATTGCTTCATAGTAAGCGCACGCGAAGTACAGCAGCATGCTTTCCATTCGTGGTGTGCAATAGTGGATGCGAACGCCGTTCCTGCGCGGCACGCACGACTTCAAGCCGCTTCACTCGATCCGCATCACGTCGTCTCCGTGTCTCAACAAGGCTATTCTAGAAAGCCAGCCGAGCTCAGCGCTGCACTCCTATGCGATGAGACTGGCAAAGCGCGAGATCCGAGAATTGAGGATGCGCGACAGGCGGCCTGATCTCCAAGCCCAACCCTGTTCCACACTTACCGAGTCGTGCTCCACACTCCGTTCCGAGACAGCAGGCACTCCCATCTGCATGCGGCTCGAAGACCGCAACCTCAGAGTCAGACGCCAGGCCAGGTCTCAAGAACGCGCATTCATCTTTCCATCGTCCTCTTTCAAATGGTCTATCGCACACGCAGCAGCACTGCCTGGCTCGCTACTAGTGCCTATCGATGGACTTGATTCTGCGCATCGCAATGTTTGGCGCGCGGATCGTGACGTGAGGCGTTGTGGCCGCAAAGAAAGTCTTATACATCTGGGAATTGCTCATGTAACCGAAGATTGATGTTGTAGTTGTGGCGCTTCGCGACGGGAGCTCGCTGAACAACGCTCAAAGGCATCGCCCGCAGCCCTCCACCTCCAAGACTGGCCAAGACAGCGTTTCGATGATCATTGGGGGTAGCAGCTGTCTGTTTGACTTGGGCGCTGCTATCTCTGCGTACGCTCGAAGTAGTACCTGAGCCCGAAGTGCTTGCTCGCGCTTCTCGATTGGGATATGCAAAGCTCGCCAGATTTGGGGGTGGTGGCATGCTGGAGTTGTTGATGCTCTGGCTCAAGCTGCGCTTCTGGTAAGTCGTCTTCTGAGACTTGGCGTACTTTTGGCATACTTTCAGTAAGACCGTCAGCAGCTCCATGCTGCACTTTTCGAGCGACTCGATTTGTCTCAGCTTAGCGAGGGTGTCAGGCAAGAGGAGAGCAGCTTCATACAGCACATCGTTGGTGACGAGACTTTCGGCTGGCTGCTTGAGCTGCCGCGCTACCTTTTGGCGTGCAACAGTCAGCTCATCGTAGCATGGCTTCCAATCCTCCTTCGCTCCTTTCTCGCCCATTCCAGCGCGCTTCGCAATTGCAGTCGATGGATCAGCTGCTCTCACGGCACTGATTGATGGAGCAGCTGTACTTCTAGCACTTCGACTGCCGCTAGGCTGACCAACGACCGAGTTGTCCTCCTCGCATGACTCGATAAGGTCTTCTTCTTCTTCTGCGGCTCGACGTGCGCGAGCATTAGAGGTTGTGGTCGGTCGCTGACGTTCGGTCGGCAGGTTCCGCTCTTTTGTCTGTCTCTTTGGCGATTCGTTCGGACTGAGGGGCATGGCACTAATGTCGAATGGATCGGGTGCGTACTCAAACTCTGCATCGCTCAGCTGCTGCCTCGCTCGAGCCTTGACCCGACTTTTGCCTTGCGGCTGATTTGCAGATGCTTTGCTGGAGGAGCCAGCCTTGCTTGCGGGTATCCTGGCGTTCTTTTCGATCATCTCCAGCTCCACCCTGGCTTGGCCTCTGAGCAGCGCTTCGGCTTTGCGACCCAATTTGACGTAGGTATTCGTGAAGCCCATGCGATTCTTGACCTGCACCTCGGTCAGATATGTCTCGATCACGAGTCGTTGGAACAATCGCTCGACGTCGCTTCTGGAACATTTCGAGCCCTCACCCCAGCCTTCTACCTGGTGATGACCGCGGCTGGTGACAGTCTTGGTGGTAGCGCCTCGAAAGACGTCGCCGCAATGGATCAGGGTGATGTTCGCCCTGTAGTCTTTTGCGAAGATGTTTTGGACCATGCGGACCGCCTGCTGTGCAAGCTCGGTCACGTCGGTAATAACTGTGGAGGCACCAGAAGTATTGCCTGTCTGAGCCGTGCAATTGTCGCATGTGTTGTGGCAGCTCTCCCTCGGGAATACCTCGCCAAAGTATTGAAGCACCTGAGACCTTCGACAGTCGGTTTTGTTCATGCAGTAGGTGATGACCTGTCTCAGGTTGCCTCGCTGTTGCTCCTTCTGCTCGCGCGAGCCAGGGCCTTCCTGTATCTGCTGGAACAAGCTGGACGTGTCCTTGTACGCAAAGTATAGCACACATGTAGAGCTCTTGCCATCTCGACCCGCTCTTCCCGTCTCTTGATACAAGCCCTCTAGGGTTTGCGGAAGGGTATGGTGAATCACTACATTCGTGTGAGGAAAAATGTCAGCGTAGGCCCAACGACCCGAGCACATGGAAAGCTTGCAGTCAACGCTTGAGACTCACCAAAGCGCACGTCGGACTTGTCGATGCCCATTCCGAAAGCAATCGTCGCTACGATCACCTTGAACTCGCCCTTCTGCCATCGTTGCTGTATCGAGCTGCGGTCCTTCTGATTCATGCCTGCATGGTAATGCTGAGCTTTGACTCTAAACTTTTTGGTAAGCTTGTCGGCCACCTCTTCGCACGCTCTGCGGCTGTGGCAATAAACAATGCCGCACTCGTGCATGTGCGATGCATTGATGAAAGAGGCGATGTCTTCCAGCACGCTCTTGCCTTTCTTCTCTCTGACGTGATAGTGGAGATTTGGTCGATTGAACGATTGTGACAAAGTCTTACAGCCCTTGATGCGCAGATTCGTCACGATGTCCATCTTGACGCGGGCGTTGGCCGTTGCAGTCATAGCCATGACGGGAACACCAGGATACTCTTCCTTAAGGCACCCAAGCTCTTGATAATCCGTGCGGAAATCGTGACCCCACTGGCTCACGCAGTGAGCTTCATCGACCACAAAGCGGGCTAGGCGTTTGCGTCTGTGCAGGTCAGACAGGGCATCTTGCAGCTGCCTTCCCTTTCGGATCATCTCGGGAGTCACGTAGAGCAAACGGGTCATGTCCTTGATGTTAGAAGGGAAAAGCATAGAGAGCGTCGCTCTGCGCTGGTCGTCCGTCTGACCTCCGCTCCCCAAGAACATGCCAGCTTTGACATTGAGATCCAGAAGATTGTGCACTTGATCTTGTATCAACGAAATCAGCGGCGATATGACGATGGTAACGCCTTGCGTCTGACCAGAGTCTATCAAAGCAGGCAGCTGAGCAATCCACTAACGAGTGAGTACACGTGAAGTTGAGGTGATCTGGGCTCGTCGCTCACCTGGTAGCAGAGGCTCTTGCCGCCTCCTGTAGGCATTAGGCAGAAGACGTCTTGCCCGCCTAGTGTCGCATTGATCGCCTCCAATTGGTTGTTACGGAACTCAAACAAGTGAAAGGTGTAGCGAAGCGTGCGTCTCACATCCTCGCTCCATGGAAATCTCATCTGATCTGCGGCTTTCTTGGGCGACTTGTGTCTCGTGCTCGTGGCGACCACAGATATTAAGCCCCGGTCTGGTTCATCTGCAGTTTGAACGGCGTCATCGCTGGAAGCCACGACGCCATTGTCCACATCTGGCGGAGATGCGGCTCGAGCAGCTGATTGCACAACGACCGAGCGATGCTCGTCAATTTCAAAGTCCAGGCCATCATGCTCGGATGGGCGCTGCTGATGCAGCCCCTCTGCCACCTGTGGATGATTTGGTCCAGGGATGGCGGTATCGATCATCATGTATGCGTCGTCTGACAGCGAGTCGTCGAAGCCGAGTCCGTCGTCGTCCATGTCTTCCGTCTCTTCATCTGATGGGAGCAACTCGTTCTGGTCGAGACCGCCATTTCCTCCGGTCCTTGACACTTGCAAAGCTTTCTGTTGCTTGACCGGAGACGCCTCCGCATCGAAGTACTCTTTGGACGCGTCTTCCTCATCGTCAGGTTCTTCGTCGTAGTCAGGCAAATCCGCTTCGTCAATGTGTAGGTCGGGGCGCATCGGACGGTCGGCAGACGTAGACTGGCCTGTGAACTCCGTGGGAGGGCCGCCGCCCCCGCGCGCTCTTGCGGGCACGCCTGCAGGAGCGAGAGATCTAGATAATATTGGTCCCTTGACTGTAGTGGGACGAGGTGGGCAAGGAGACGTCTGTGAGAGCGTGGGTATCTGCTCTGAATCAACTCCGTCCGAGCTGACTGCTGGCGCCCGACGATCGGTGGCAGCCGCACTGGACCTGGCAGAGTGCGTAGCAGCAGAGTTCGTGACGTGTGCCAAGCCTCGCAGCCGTCTAGCATCTGAGCTTTTGTCCCGCAGCTCAGCATCACTGCTACTTGGCCGCAAAGATCGGCGTGGACTAGCAGAGCGCGGCGAAGCCTGACCAGAATCTCTTTCGAGAAGAGCAGCCTTTATTTGCTGTATTCTTGTCGTCAAGAAGTCTCTGAAGGACAGATTCATATGAGGTTTGGGACGTGAGCAGCATGACAAGGGACGTTTGGCTCCAGAGCGACGCACCTTTGCATCCTCAAGAAGGCAGGATCGGTACCAAGCTCGGATTCTGCACCTTCCATGAGCTCCATCAACGTTTCCATGACGTGGTCCTTGTTATCCAGACTCGTCTGCAACATCTGTTGAAGCTCAGCTCTAGACTTGTGAGCCAGGTCGTTTGGACTAGAGCCTGCCTTTGTGCTTGAGGCTGCATGGTGGCCATCAGGTGGAGGTTTGCTGCTGGTGCTTACATGACTGCTGCGCGCATGAGGCGTATGACGGACTACGAGAGATATGCACCGCAGTGAGCAAGAGCAAAGAGGGTATGTGAGCAGCGACTGTCTGACTACTCACGCAGATTTGGGGTTCGGGATCTTGCAGTGCTGCTACTGCCAAGCATCGCGAAGCCTACATTCTCTTTGTCATCCTCTTCCTCTCCATCCTCCTCCTCTACCTCTGTACTAGACTTCGAGACGCGCTGAGCTTTGGAAGCCGTCCTTTTCGCATGAGTCGATGGCGATGTCATGCGATGTGTAGGTAAGCCGGTATGCTCAAAAGGCCTCTTCAGGCTCGTCGCTGATCTGCGCGGCGAACTGCGTATTGGTGGACTATGTATATTTGCAGCAGAGGGCATGAAAAGCCACGGAGATTTGCGCGGAATGGATTTGTGTTCGGGTGTCTTACCTCTTGCGCCACCCTGCCCCGCTGGGAGTGACATGACGAGCTACAGCAGCGAGCCTACGAACTGAGAACGTTGAGAGCGCAACTCATCTGCGTATGCGGCGAAGCTCGATGGTGGGAGGTGAGGCAAGCTGGGCTGCTGTATGTGTCAGTCAGGGCGGTACGAGTCCAGCATTTGGTGATGAGAGAAGATGACTCGTGTCGCACTCGGAACTTAGCCGCGTGGCCGGTGATGTTATAAGTCAAGAGTATACATACAGTCACGAGTGTGAGTCATGAGTCTTGAAATCACGAGACCAACACTCGTGACTCACGACTCACACTCACGGATGCGACGCGCTCAGCAAGCTTCACGCGCATAGCATCAGCCTACAGGCTCCATGCGCACACAGCGCAGACAACACGCGCCACGCGATGAGGCCGCGCACGCGCGCGCGCGCTTGCGTGCGTGGCAATGCTGTAAGACAGCATCAGCAGAGAGAGAGGGCCAAAGGTGAAACGCAAGCCTGTTGTCCGTCGAGAAGATTCTGCTGAAAGCTGAGCGTCCCACCGCTTGCAGTCAGAGTTAACACCGACGTTTACGACTCACCCAGCAGCCGTCTCGATGCTCTTCTCTGTGCTTCATGAGGCACTCATTGTGGCTCACCTCTCCAAAGGGTTGGCTTTACTGGGCCCGCCTATCTACGTGTGCCCTTAACAAGCGATTGCGACTCTGACTATAAATTGTTGCATGCGAGATGAGAATGTCCTCATTTGTGGTCCGTTCCTCGAGCCCGGCCGAACTTATGGCCGAATCGGGTCGAGCGATCCAAACCACTGTCAAAGGCGAAGGTCCGCAGGAATTCTCGCGACGATGATAGAGTCGTTGTAAGAGTAGCACGAGCATATTCGCGGTCCATGAACTTTCCCATCGCCTTCAAGTTGGATGGAGTGTGCCCCGCAGGTGAATGTGACATTTATATTACAGGTGACATGGCCGGAGAGCGAACCCCGAAAGACTCTTGACTGACGATGAGAGGATCGCGACTGCTGCTGGCTGACGATGGAACTCTTGATTGACTCAGGACCAGCGACGAT